TAAGATGCAATACGATTTGCCACACAATTCCCGAAGCATGAATAACACCTTTCAACCCTACTGCTAATTAACTGATTAGGAGAGGTTTCTACCTCTCTATACAATCTGATGGAGGGATTTAGGTAACTAAGCTTCTTTTTTCCCTTAAGACATAGCTCTGCTCCTGCCTCTCCTTGTCATCTTGGTCTTCAGCTCTAGTGTTTCTCCCTCTCTTGCCTCCTGTTTGCTTTTTCCAGTATCCCTTTTTACTCTCTTCACTACTAAACTTTGCCCTTTCCTCACTGGGTTATTGAGGTTTTCAGCTTTAAAAGGCTGTGGTCTCAGTCAGAGGCATCAGTAGTGGAATAACGCTAGAGAGTCGACATCTTGGAAAAACCCACAGCACTTGAAAACATTTTTTGTGGTTACTGAAGGCTGTGAAATGATCTATCGATCAGGGTATAGATGGAAGAGGTAATGTAATGCAAAAAAGCTTTAGTGGGATTTTCTGCAGATTGTGCATTACTGTGTGGTTCCATGTTTGACTGGATGTCAAAGTGATCCCCACTGGGATGGTTTACTTTACCAGCTGACGCGTTTGGCATTGCTGAGCTCTGTGTTGTTTATGAGGGGGAGCCTGCACGTAATTTACAGCTGAATGTCTTGACTTGGATTCATTTTCATGTCCACATTAGGTAGTTTTTCTTCTAGGTAGCCTGCAGTAGAGGAGCATTGACTCACTGGATAACGTACCGTGTGTCAACATCTCCAGATTTATTTTAGTATATTGTTAGGCACACATGATGCATTTAACTCTTAGTCTTGACTTCATTGGCAAACCTGAACTAATAATGACTTATCATAGCCAATCCATCACTCTCTCCTGTCTCCAGCCTCACATTTGATTGCTATAACAATTGGTCTCTCCTCTCTCGGCCAATCTGTGACCTCTCACGGAGTGACACTTCACAGATGGCCATTTTTCACAAATGGCAAGTCAATCTGGTGTGCAGATCATGATGCAACACCTAGTCGATTGATGTCAGTCTATCTCTGGGACGTCACGTTTTCAACACATTTCTGCTGTGCCTAACGCTCAACTTGCCTGCAACTCCACCAGTTTGGCCCAACTGTCCCTCAGATGAAAAGCACTGACTTTGCCTGGCCAGACAGTGCACAGAGAGTCAATTGGAGAGTCAACCTTTTCACGGGACAGTTGCATAATCTAAAATTGTTTCTCTGCACTCTAACAGTCTGTTGTGCTAAAGCTGATATAATTTTTACGAGGCTGACACTTTCATACAGAACTAATGCCATTCTGGGTCATCATTTATAGAAAAGCTATTTGATTTGCGTTTACACAAGAGTCACTTATACTTCTTTGGAAAAGATACTAACCTGAATAACAGAGATGACATACTGCAGAAGACCTTGAAAAGGACTGTTGTATTAGTCTGAAGTGATGAAATGCCAAAATGTACAGTACTATGTACAATATGTGCTATAGATTGTTTATACTTTATTTTTGCACGGAATATCAGCCAAATGTCCAAAATAGCATACAAAACTATTCATAAAATTATTCTCAAAATGTCACTTCACTTTCAGCATACTTGTGCTAATTAATTTGGAATTTAACAAAGCAAAATTAGTTCTGTATTGACTACTATGGATAGAAAAACAACAAAAATGTGGAGAAAAAAAAAGAATAACAGAAATGAAAAGAACTTGTTAAAAGGAAATTACTATTATGATTTGGTCTTACTTGATATTACAAAGTTATTCCATTCATAAGAGTAATAATAGTAATTATTGTAATACATAATAATCTCAAAATATTGAAATATGGACTATTGATTATATTTTCTTCATTAAAAGAGTAGAAAACTCAGCAGAAGTTAATTCTTAAACTTAAAAAGCCAATTTTCATGACTGGAAGATTATAAGATCTTGCATTCTCATTCAGAGTTTACAACAACTCAGTCGTCAACACAGTCTGCATGTTTGTGTGGCTCCATTAAGGATCCTTTTCAAGTTTACATCAAGGGCAATTAGCGCAATTAAAATGCAACCCACATATCTTTCTTTCCAAAGTTAAACCAGAAAAGCCAAGAAATGTCTTACCTCTTGTGTTTTAAAATGCATCCAGGGACAACTACTCCAAGGTCACTGTGGATGTGCTGGCAAAAAAAGACAACAGCGTAAGATATAGCTCTCACTTGAACTATAGCTCACTGTGGCTTTTTTTAATCACTCTGGCCTCTAGTAGCCGACACACAACTATACATGAAGAAGCAACTGGGAGTGATTGAATGATTTGGATCAGTTGGAGAGATATAAGATCATTTTAGGAGATTTGGTGAGCTAAGAAACACAGATGGTACTGACTTTATTTTTCATTGTGATAGATTCAGGAATAAGGTTACAAAAACTGGAAATGTCCTGGATTTTAAAACAGTGAAACAAATTCATATCAGCAATTCCATTGATCTTATTTTACTGTTTTTCCTACAAGGTAATTTGTCACAGAAATGCGAGGCAGTAAATAAGAGGCAGGCCCTGTTCTGTGAGGTGATGCTAGCAAGAGAACGACTCTCCTGGGCTAGATGTTGCTCCCCTGAACTATTTGTTCTTGGTTCTATAGTTGTCTGCCCAGGTAGCACTGCCATTTGTCATTGTCAACAGCTGGTACCATACCTTCCCTTATGGGGAGGGCGCTATATGTGAAAGTACTCCACATTAGGGAGGGTGGGAAAAGTAGAAGTCATTACTGTCCTTACTAATAACAAACTTGATTTCTTCAGGGAACAGCTTTTTTTGTCATGTAGCTGATTCTTTGCTCATGCTGTACATTCGTGCACACCATGTACAAGTAGAAGATAAGTGTTTATAAGCAGGATGTGGACGCCTGTGGCAATTTGTCCACTACCTATTATTAGGAGCTGATGGTGTGATAAAGCACAATCACCAAAGTGGTCACTGTATTGGTTTTCAACGGGCTGGTCATGTTACCTTGTGAGAACACATCAGGTGTTTGAAGCTCTATTAGGTGAATCCTATTAGAGTCATATTGCTTCTCGCTTCCCCCTTTAACAGAAAGCTCTGGGTTTCTCTTTCATTTTCAGTTCCACAAATGCTGCAGTGTAACGTTTAAATAAAAAGTGCAGATGACTGCAAAGGAGCAAACAAGGGTCACATTTTGTTCAACTGGAGTGACTGAACAAGAATAACAAGGAACAAAACAGCACCAAAAGGAGGATAATTTTGTATTTCACTAGTTTGAAGAGAGTAAAAAAGTACAAAGCATTAATTTAAAGAGATAAAAGTAATCAACATCTCCTTGACACCCAAAAGCTGACTTCTGGCTGGTACTGTAGCAGGAAGAGCCAACGTATTCCCTCAGAGCAGAGCACAATGTTGGAAACAAGAAAAGGGCTTGCTAACAGCTGAGATCGCTCACTGGTGCCCCAATTATATAGACAGAGCTGTGGCCCCAGGACACGACTTAATGACCATAATAAGGCCTGTCTGTCTGTTCAAAATCAGCTTAGAGTGCATCCACGCTGACCTACAGCATCACTCTAGCCTTAGTTCAATTTAAACAGGCAGCATGAGAAGGAGCTTTTGGGGATGGGTGGGGGAACGTCCTGACTGTTTCTCAGGCAGATGGACCACGACGCCCTGAGCTCTCCTCATTCCACCTCATAGCCTTGATGAGGATCAATTTCGACTTGAGCATTTCTTGCAGCTGTGGGTGCTCTTTAATTCAGTATTGCTGGGTGCTCTGTGATTAATGACAGGTACTTAGCTGGGAGACCGGTCAATAAACGCACTGGTCCAGGAACTTAATACCAGGCTATATGCCAAAGGGGAGACAGGCTTTCTCTATGCACCACCCAGATCAAAGGGGGGTTTGATAGGAGCAGAAAGCAAAAAAAAAAAGCCAACCAAAAACTTTGTTTGTGTGGCACATGTGCATGCACATGTGTGTCCTCGTGGGAAAACACACAAAATAAATAACTCCAGACAAGATAACCTGAAAGTCATAATCATGATAGATTCAGCCCTTTATTGCCTCTGATAAAGCCCACCCCCCAGACGCACCCATGACTTTAAGGTGTAGGCTATACTCATTAATCATATAACAAGTCCGTTTCTGCTCTGTAAGCCTTCACAAACGCCTCCCGTGCAGATGATTTAGTGCCTTTGTTATAGCCAAAAGCGTGAGAAAGAGTGTTTCTCAGCTCCATCAGAACATGTCAACGGCACCATGTAATCCTGTAATCTTCTTATCAATACAATTACTACACCGCAAACACACGAGCTAATAATGGCAAGAGAGTGCAGGGAGATGATAAAAGTTACAAGTGCAAGGTCACACACGGTCTCTTTCTACGTTCCTCCAACAGGGCGAACGATAATCAATACATGGGGGGGGATGTATTCACCTAATGGCTGTGTGGATATATGTTAATAATAATATCATGTTGCCTTTGTAATTTTGCTCATATGGTGTGTGTGTGTGTTCGTCTGTTTGTCCCTCCGGGGCTGGCTGTTACAATACTGACCTCCAGTGTGCGCACAGAAGGACGGAGAGCAGAGCACGTTCTTATGTCTGTCAGTCTGTGCGCTCTGACAGCAATGTGACCTCCCCCCAAACTCACTTTATCTATTAAAACGCTCAATATTCTGACACAGACCTTCAAAAGTCAAATCAAGACAGAGATTCAGTGATCATTTGTCCGATTTGTGACTGTCCGCCAGTTTGCACTGGCATTGCAGATAAACAGGGCACACATTAAACAACCGCTGCTCCTGCAGCAGCCCACACTGATCTGATTATTCCAAATATAAACAATCGACTATATTTTGCTTCCTTATTTCACTGTTTTCGTCTCTTGTCCTTCAGTAATCGTTCACATCTCTTCTCCGTGCCAGAGCCGGTCCCTGCTAGTTTTTCTAATGTAAAAAAAAAAAAAAAAAAGAAAAGAAAAAGACACGTGGTTGTTACAAACCTCTCTCAGGACACAGCGGGGAGGCGGAGGTGGAGAGATACGGGCGCAGTCGGGATGGGAGAGGACGCGTTGAGGAGGGAGCCCGCTCTCTAACCATGGACATTCTGCTGCTGAGCAGCCTGCACGTTTTTGGAATAAGGACTTAAAACACTTTGCATATTGCGTTCTCTTTCTTTTTTCCTTTTTTTCCCTTTACCACAGAAGAGACTTATATGCAGGATGTGGCAGATCGCAGGTGAGGAGAGAAGAAAATTGCCATTTGCTGTAGATTTATGTAGTAAAATACCCAAGTCCTAATGGGATATCTCTACACATTATTTCCGTGAATTTTCATTTTTTAAAAGTCATATCTTGACTATAAAAGAAAGACTCCAAGAAGAATGGATTTCTTTAATAGCTCCAGTCTAGAGGTCGGCATAGAGGCAGATAATATCTCCTCTAATTCCACCTCTCAGAGCCAGTACACGCAGCTCGCTATCTGGGGTCTGGCCGGACTTGTCAGCTTTCTGATTTTGTTTACAATAGTCGGGAACGTCTTGGTTGTTATCGCTGTTTTAACGAGCAGAGCTCTGAAACCACCCCAGAACCTTTTTCTCGTCTCCCTAGCCAGTGCGGACGTACTGGTGGCCACGCTTGTCATGCCCTTTTCTCTGGCAAATGAACTCATGGGCTACTGGTTTTTTGGCAAAATATGGTGTGACATCTACCTGGCCCTGGACGTTTTATTCTGCACCTCTTCTATTGTTCACCTGTGCGCTATCAGTTTGGACAGGTACTGGTCAGTGACACAGGCGGTAGAGTATAACTTAAAGAGAACACCTAAAAGAGTTAAAGGGATGATTGTGGTGGTATGGTTGATCTCAGCGGTTATCTCCTTCCCCCCGCTGATTTCAATGGACAGGAGCAGCAATGAGGCCAGTCCCCAGTGTATCCTGAATGATGAGACCTGGTATATCCTCTACTCCAGTATTGGCTCATTCTTTGCCCCCTGTGTCATCATGATCCTGGTCTATATTCGGATCTACCAAGTGGCAAAGACGAGGACCAGAACAATGTCAGAGAAGAAGAGGGACGTGGACTCGCCACTGGAGAATGGGATGGACCAAGCCGAACCAGGCAAAGGCGGGTCATTAAAGTCCAACAGGGGCGGGAGCATGAAAGACCAGGAACGTGAGAATGGGCACTGCCAAGAGCAGGTGGTTCGATCCCCTCTACCAAACGAGCCGAAACATCCACCGACAGATCACGACGACGATTTCGATGACAGCAGCTCGTCAGACGAGAAACCTAAAAAAAGTTCCAGTTCCTCCAAACATCATCATGACAACAGAAAAGATAGGAAGTCCAGTCGGAAAAGTAGCTCCGCCTCTAAATACTCCAGCAGGAAGTCGCGCACCAGCTCCAAGTCTATGGAGCTGTTCTCATCTCGACGCAAACGCAGGAGCACCGTCAATCGGAAGAAAGTCTCTGCTGCTCGGGAGAAGCGTTTCACCTTCGTCCTCGCCGTTGTCATGGGCGTTTTCGTCGTCTGCTGGTTCCCGTTCTTCTTTTCCTACAGCCTGTACGGAATCTGCCGGGAGCCGTGCCAGATCCCTGAGACGCTTTTCAAGTTCTTTTTCTGGATTGGCTACTGTAACAGCTCTCTAAACCCAGTCATCTACACCATCTTCAATCAGGACTTCCGCAGAGCCTTCCAGAAGATCCTCTGTAAGTCATGGAAACGTTCTTTCTGAATGCTCCCTGCATGGATGGGCTGTAATAGACATTTTACCTTGCAGACACAAATTTGAAGTGTTCTGAGCTGTAGGTTAAAGTGCTGGCCTGGGGGGCTGTCACAAATTTACTTTCAGGGATTGGACTAGAAATGAAAGGATGCTGAAGGGATCAAAGGATTGAACTAAGGTGTAGAAAGGGGGTTTAAGATACAAGAGTAAGCTGATTGAGGAGGCTTTCATTCAGCTCCATCCAGGCTGCTTTTGGACTCTGATGTGGGCTTTGGCTCATTCCCCCTCCTCACTTGACTTCTTCTCCCTTCATTTAAATACAATAAACTGACTCATAACAGTTACTGTGATGCATGCACGCCACAGTGGCTAAACTTGCATGAACTGCACAGGAGGCGAAGGGTTTTCAGAGACACTTTATTTACAATGTGACCTCATTCACTGAATATAATGCGAAGGCCTCGACAATCTCCACACAAGCGTTGTTTGTGACGTTAGACAGTGTTACCTATCTTCTCTCTCTGTCTCTTGCTATGTTTCTTTCTCTACCTTCCTATTACGTAACACTCTCAACATGAGGACCAATGGGACGAAGGGGCTCCTTGCTTACTGTTTCAGAAGCAAAACCGTTTCACTAAAAACAAAACAACAAAAAAAAGACTCATCCATAAAAACTAAAGTCCCACTTCTGCTTCAGTGTTCTGTGTGTGTCCAAACTGGGAACTGCAGTGGAAACTTTCTATCAGGACGTGTGTTTTTTTGTGTGATCTTGTACATGTGGCTTGGACACTGTCTGGGTATGGTGCGTCTCTCCCAGGCAAGTGTTTGTACCCTCTGAGAAATATATGGAATACATCAGTACTGTTGGGGCAGATAGGCGCCCAATGAGGCTGTCACTGTGTGTGTGTGTGTGTGTGTGTGTGTGTGTGTGTGTGTGTGGAGAGAGTGTGTGTGTGTGAGAGAGAGAGAACAAGAAAGAGGACTATATAACATGTGGAATTTTGTTGTGATAAGGTGAGCCACAGAGTTTACAGCATCTTAACCCAACTGCCAGTTAGTGATTGTCTGTGTCTGTGTGTGTGTGTGTGTGTGTGTGTGTGTGTGTGTGTGTGTGTGTGTGTGTGTGTGTGTGTGTGTGTGTGTGTGTGTGTGTGTGTGTGTGTGTGTGTGGTCAAAATCAAAAAAGTGTCTTTCTATCCTTGTCCATCCTATTTTCTGTCAAATGTGTTTTCTCTGCCTTGCAGCCACAAAAGCACTAACCCACAGTAAAAAACAAACACCGTATCACTCTGCTGTCATGTCTGCTGCTTACACTGACATATGAATGCACACACACACGCGCACACACACACACACAAATTATTATTATATACACAAAGATATTTTCATCATCTTTACATTTCAAGCATTTATAGCCAGAAGGACTAAGGTTTTTTTCCCCCTCATGTAAATAATTGAAGACAGTACAGTACTTTGGTGTGGTGCCTCATAATCACACATGTATCTATATTATAAAAATGTATTGTTTTTTCGCTCTAAAAGGTTTTAATGTCACACCGACCTCTGTCCTTTTCTAAAAGAACAAGTGTTTACTTATCTGCTTTGAGCACATTGAAAAAGATCAAATAAAGAGATTACTTCGACTGTCTTTTGAAAACTAAAAGAGTGCAGGACGGCATTCTTCATCACTGTTATTTATAGATTTTTTTTACCGTTGTGAAACTGTTTATTTATTATTTACATTGACGCTGTCAGTGGTGTGACTCAGAACATATGCGGAATGATTTGTTTTTAAGTGCAATCATTTTCAGGTAGCCTCTGTGGTAAGCTGCTATTATTCAGACTTGAGAGCATCAGTGAGATTAAAAATGGAAATTAACATCATTGACATTCATCATCAAAATTCTACGTTATGTTTGTGATCTGTAATAAATCAGACTTGAAATGTTTCAGAGTACACAGCTCATAGAAAGTTGAGAGGGAAACTGAAATGATGCTCTGAATTCACAAACAATGTCAATGCTATGTTTATCAAAACTGCAACATTTTGTTCCTCTATGAAACAACAACTCCTCTGTATTGGTGTCAAAACTGCAACAACCAATCAAAACAGTAGTCAAATCTAGCTTGTGGAGTAGATCATTGAATAAAATTATGATTTAGTAGCAATCTTCAGTGTATTTGTCACAAAAACCAGTGAGCCTCGAGTGATGATAAGCTGACTGACCTGAGTCAGTTAGACCAAGCCAAAACATCAACATATAAAAAATATTTTGTATGACAGAATAATCAACAATATCCACTTTTACCTGATCATTAGTGTTTAATAAGATGCTGTTTAAAGTCTGTTTAAATTAACACATTTGGTAAATGTCACGTGGTGGAAGAAGGGGTAGTTAAGCTATTATTGGGCTAGAACTGGGAATTACAGCATACAATTAATAAAAACATCTCCAGAATGAGACAATTAATTTTACTTTAACATCAGAGAACACAATAGACAAAGTGAACTGGTTGTTGTCTTCCTACTTTCTGTCTCTCTCCACTATGTGAATGTTTCATCTTGATCCCATCAAGTATTTGCTTTTTGATTTGTTGTTGCAGCCAGTGGTTCTATAGTATAGTATAGTATAATATAGTAAGGTCTATGACCAATAACATTGCAGTCTTAACTGACTCCATGCTGATGATGGGCAGGACATCAACACAAGAGCTTGGGTTTGACTGTACATGCAAAGTTTTGAACTTGTGAGAATCTTTTGTAAATGAGGCTCACAAGAAAAACTACCCGGATTAACATTGCTAAGCTGCTTCCTCCAAACACTGAACAGACAAAATGAGACATCACAGATTACACACTAATGTCATCAAAGTCAGAATCATAACAAAGGCTTCTGTAGGATTTTTGCTCTCCCTCCTTCACTTCTTATACGTCACACAAAAATGGTTCTGAAAACTTTGATTTGGTTTACCAAAGATGTAAGCTGTTATTTGAATGATATGGTAGGAACAGTTTGTGTCTGTTCGCAGACAGTTCTGGCTCACCCACTGTGTCTGAGACCCTGTAGCCGTAGGTGTAAACAATATTCGCCTTTTCCACTAGAGCATTATTTAGTATATCCTCCAGAGATGTAACTGTTAACTGTATATTAACCACACTACATTTGTACACTGTGTAGTACCCAGGAGTGCTTTCACAAAGCCTGATGGGTGGTTAAGACCAGACTGTGTGGTAGCATCAAATTAAGTCAATGCCGCTGTTTCATTTTTCTTTATCGTGCAACTTCTACACCTGTGTCCTTCTACAAGCATCAATAAAAGTTACTGGAGAAGTAATATTTCATAGAAAATCCTTCTATCCTCTTGAAATAAAAGTTGTTTCTGGGGCTCACTGCACCACAACTCTGGCCGATCCATAGGCAGAGGTCAGCTGCCTCAGCTTTTCACTTGTGTGTAATTGTGTATTTATGTGTGCTGGGAAACACTTTTCACTGGAGACCTTCCAAACTAATCAGAGGTCAGATTTGGGTTAGAGTTTACCAGGAAACCTGGACCCAGAGGAGATATATAACGCACACCTCCTCTGTCTGCCTGCCTCATGGTTATTTATTTATCCCCTGAAAGCTGACTAGAGTCGCCCCCATGACCAAGCAGAATGGATTCTGTCATCGCTGCCCCTCTCACGTCAAAGTGTTTATGGCTTGCTGTGTCAGCGGGTCACATCCTCACGCTGCCGGTGGTTTGCTCCTGTGCTGCAGATCTGAAGCAGAATCCATCAAACGATCCTGAAAAATGCACAGACGGAGATTGGCTATTCCTACATCGTGTCTCCTTTTAACTCAAGTCTTTGAAGATGCTCCCTGGCTCAAGGGGCAAACAGGAGAACTAAATACATGTTTTCTTCATCATCAGCATATGTACTAATTGAATTTTACTTATTTATTTAAGAGTGTTTTATCATCTGAAAGCCAAACGCACACTCTTGCTCACCTGACTATACTTGAGGTTGAAGATTGTGCTGCTAAGATCAGACCACACAACGATTTTAACAACAAAAGGTATATATATATTCATGAACTGAGCTTCAACAGCATCATTCCATAAATCTTTTAAGTCCTTAACTGTGTATTCTTCCTTGGCACTGTCTTCAACTCAGCCTGACCTCCCGTCTTCTCTGCCTCCCTCACACATGTCATGACTGATTTCAGCAGATCTGCATGAGTGCTCAGTGGGCGGGAAGTGGCAAATCAAGACAGGCCAGATTGTAAAGTATCTCATGTTTGTACATTATGTTGTGGTAAATACTCACAGGAGGATTTAAAGCTAAATACCCTGAGATATGGTGCTACAATTTTGAAAGTGGCAGAGAATAGCTTTCACTTGAACGGATAGTATTTTTCTTTCCTGGGGGATTTGAAGGGGCCTAGGGTATAGATTCAAGGACCTAAGTCTTATGAATGAATAATCTGACTTTCACTCTCTCTCTCTCTCACTCTCACTCTCTCACACACACACTCTGACTTTCTCTGCCCAAATGTCTTTGTCTTTGACTTCACATTGTATCCTACCACAGATTTTCCTGTGTCTTATCACACATCCCGTACAATTTGAACTGCACAAGCTTTTCTCTGCTCACCTCTGCGCCTCATCCCACTCAAACCTTATCTTAATCTCCTCTGCCTGTAACCTGTAACCTCTACCTGAGTTTTCCATCTGGCTCAGTGTTTATCCATTAACATCTTAAGGCGCAGCAACCAGAGAAACAACATAACTTACAAAGAAGGCACACACAGACACTAAAACACAAATACATACATACAGTAAGTAGCCACTTTTAGCCAAATGTATGCAACTACTTTTAGGACCGTCTGCTGCCTGTAATAAACTACCAGCGTTAAAGGAACAGTTACACGATTTGAATAATATGTTTCTTATCAATCTTCAGTCTCAGGTAAGAAGATTGGTACTACTCTCATTTTATAGAGCTGGAGCCAGGAGGTGATTAGCTTAGCAAAAAGACTGGAAACAGAAGGAAAAAGCATAGCTGGCTTTCTATAACGTTCAAAAATACTGCTACCAACACTTCCAAAGCTCACTAATTGTACACAAACGGTGGCCAGTGAACAACAGCAGCGCCCACTGTTCCACGGATCTTCTCATCACCATGAGGCAAACCGTGAAGATGCTGCACAGTGCAAGTGCTGGCCGGATGAAAAAAGTATTGCGAACCAAAAGGTTATAGCATGTAACCTAAACTTATCATTTTATCATTTCTGTTTGTGCAGTCAAATGAAATGTATGTGTTAACTGGTGAGCTTTACAGAGACTAATAGGTATATTTTTGAGAGCCAGGCTCCCACTTTCCCACTGCATCCAGATTTATGCAAAGCTGGGCTAACCACCTCAGGTTACAGCTCTGTATAGTTTAAGGAATAGCTTGGCAGTTTGGGGAAATACGCTTAATTCTTATTTTTGGTGAGAGTAAGATGAAAACCACAACCTGCTTTTAGGCAGGTCAGGTGGACTTTGGCCCTACTCTTGAGAAGGTCCATCTTAGGTGCGGCTTGGGCCCAACTAAGCACGTTTAAACTGGTAATGGAAATGCAAATCAGTGCAACATGGTTTGACTCGACTTTGACTTGTCATTTTTACATTTACTTTTGACTTTTAAAGTAATGTTTTAATGAGCTTTAGAGGTGTAGGTGTATACTTGACCTTTGGTGAAGAGCCAGGGGAGCCTGGGGAGCTGTTTATCCCTGCTTCCAGTCTTTATGCTAAGCTAATTGACTCCTGGCTATAGCTCCATACTTAATGGACGGATATGAGCAAATAAGCACATTTCCCTATTCCCTACTATTGTTTTAAAAAACAGTTCCCCTGAAACTGCTTCTCTTAGATAAAACTTAAAAACACATACACACACATATACGCACAATCATGGACCTACAGGCACACACACACACACGCACACAATCATGGACCTACAGGTGCACACAGGCACACACACACACACACACACACACACACACACACACACACACACACACACACACACACACACACACACACACACGGCTGAAAGATGTACAATAAAGATGTGACAGAGAATTAAAACACAGACGACCACCTCTCTCTCTCTCTATTGTCTACCATACAGAGTTCTGTCAGGGAAGGATAAAGGTTTCTGTAATGGATTTCATTGAATGTCATGTTTATGCCTTCAAGCAACGAATGTGTGACTAACACATTGTAATTTGTCATGCTTCCTATCAGTGTTGCGGCCGTGTTGTAACACCAGAGGTGCAGTTGCTGGCAGGTAAATACAAATGAGAAACTGGATGTGCGTACGAAAGTATCTGATTAATAAAACAAAGTCCAGAAAGGACACAGCAGTGAGAAGATAAGTCAGAAGGTAGATCTGGAACACAGGCGACTCAATCGCACAGGGGAAACCAGTTATATAATCAATCACAGTGTCTTTTTATTTCTTCAGGGTTGTTTGCGTCTCTTCTCTCCTCCCAGCAAGGATGGAAAAGCAGAGGACTCCATCTCTCACACACCATCTGCCATCAGTCTTGCACTCCTCATGCTATCTCAACCTCTGTCTTTCACCCTCTTTCTCTCTCTTCCCCTATCAGTCTATGCGTTCTCCTCAGTCTGACAGCAGCTATCTATTCTGTGAGCTTCTGCTCCACTTGCACGATAGAGCAGGAGTGGAGTACACACACACACAGGCTGGAGTAAATACACCTCCAGTTTCTACTGTCGTTAGTTTGTTAGTTAGTACATGGGTGATTGCCTTTTATCCTTACAATAAAGCCACTCTTAATAACATTTTCTTTAGATGAATCAGTGCTTGTTGGTTTAATTAAATGCTTTAATTCAAAATAAAGAGAAGTAGTCTCTGTGGATTGCCTTTAAACAGTAGAGCTATTGATGGCTATTTCACAGGGGACTAGCACCTTGTACTTTCTAACAGCGCTGCCAGATGGTCAAACTCTGATTGTTTTTCCCCCTGTTGTTTAAGTATTCACAAGCTGCTGCTCACTCATAACCTACAACCAGCCTTAAGGGCAACAAGTTTCATGCTCTACCCATAACTAAAGGAAAACTTAAATAGACATTCTATTTTATTGAGTGGACATGTAAAAACTTTCAAGATATCTTTTCCACCTTAATGCCCAAAAGTAAATGTATCTGGCTTCTTTTTGAAAGAAAACAAAGTAAAAGTGTGGAGGAAAAGTATGGCGTCTCAAACTAACTAGTGGTACATTATGAAAGAGTGGAAGGGCTGGTGGAGGATGTGAACGAGGGGCAATCATTTATTTAGAGCTCCAAATGCTTCATTCTTGTTTCAACCTGCATTTTTGTTTCAGAGTCTTAAAAGATTGAGTCTTGTAGCCACGTTAGTGGCTCTGTGAGGCTGTACTTACAGGCACAGTGGTGCTTTTAGCTAATTTCTAACGTCTGCATGATAACATGCTCACAATGACAATGCTAACATGCTAGTTTTAAGCTGTAGATGTTCACCGTCTTAGTTTCAACATCTGCTAATTGTAACTTACAAAAAGCACAGTTGAGGCCAATGGGAATGTCATTGGTTTTGCAAGTATCTAATCATAAACCAAAGTATCGGGCAAATTAAAATTCTGACCCCATGATGCCGCTAGAGCAAAGTTACTAAAATTTTGTCTGAGGGTGACATACTGTACATTAACACCTACAATACACATAATACTGTAATACATAAAATCAGAAATGTGGATCTCATGATGGCGCTACATGAAAACATCAGCAACGTAATTCATTCAATTCAATTCATCATCTGGGAACCATGAACGTCAAAATGAAGAATTTCCATCCATGTATCTGGTCTGGTCGACCAAAATGCAGTGCCTCTAGCATGGTTAAACAAAACATGTTAACTGAGAATGTATGGTAGCTCAAATATTTCTCCCAAGGACAAATTTCTCTTTAGACAAAAGCTGGGTATACAGTCTACAGTATGTATCCTTGTCCAAAGACATGGGCCTTATAATGGGCTGCTCATGGCTCCATATTGTGTTTAGAAATGTCTTTCTCATGCTCCTGTGTCCAGTTAAGCTGCCTCCATCTAGCAGCCGTACACCCTCAGGGTCAGAAGTTCATTTCCTGCTCCTGCTTTCTATTCTGCTCTATCCATCCATCTCATCCCCCTCTGACAACATACCTCTCCGTCTGTGAGACAAAACGATGCAGAAAATGAAAAATGACTTAAATTTCCTCAAACAAAGCAACAGAAGGAACGTTGTCCATTGCATATGATGGAGGTTTGGTCTCGCAAGAACAAGCACTGT